CCCTGCCAACTACGTTCGCCTGGACCAGTGATTGAGTCATATCATAGATTACTCTGAAGGTCCAATCCGAGAGCAGATTTTAAATTCCTTTGATTCACCCAACCACATATGTAGATCTGACTATGTATCCCTAATTCCTGAGTATAAAAACACCCGGCTCACTGCTTCTTTTTGAACATATAGAACATGTATATATAGAACAAATCTTTATAATTTGCAAAGTCGAATCATCGACGTCATGGCCCGCAGTATCGGCTTATGTCAGCATCACGTGTGCCGAAAAAGTAGCCATCAACAACGTTCCCAAGGTTCCAAGGAGAGTCGATCAAGGCCTACAAGGATCCCGGTGACCGTTTGCACGCGACCTAATTTTGCGTGTACCTTTTCCCCCTTCTTTTTTTTTCTCTTAACCCTGAGCCCTAAATCTTGGCCCGTCTCAAGCCTTCAGTTCGACATCATGACATCGCTGGGCGAGGATCTGCTCGTGACAGTGAACAAGCTTCAGGATCTGGTCTTCAATACCATTGGGAATGATTCCTTGGATTTGCCCCAAATTGTGAGTCTGATCAGGTAGAGAGCTCTCGGAGTTGGGGAAAGAGTTGTCATTTGATGCCCAGTCAACCCAAGACTAATCCCCACCTTCCATAGGTTGTTGTTGGTTCCCAATCGTCCGGAAAGTCTTCGGTCTTAGAGAATATAGTCGGAAGGGATTTTCTACCAAGAGGTAGCGGAATTGTCACCCGACGGCCCCTAATCCTGCAACTTATCAACGTGCCCAGTGAACGTGATGATAAGCCGGAAACCGATGAGATCCATATCCCACACACGGCTGCTAGTGTTGCCGGTCAACACGAATGGGCCGAATTCCATCACCTTCCGGGGCGCAAATTTGATGACTTTGGACAAGTGAAGCAAGAGATCGAAGCGGAGACGGCAAGGATCGCAGGAAGCAACAAGGGCATCAATAGACAACCGATCAATCTCAAGATCTTCTCGCCCCATGTGCTCAACCTCACACTTGTGGATCTGCCCGGACTGACGAAGGTGCCCATCGGGGACCAACCCTCCGACATTGAGAAGCAAACGCGAACCTTGATTCTGGAATATATCGCCAAACCGAACAGCATAATCCTTGCGGTTTCTCCGGCCAATGTCGATCTAGTCAATTCCGAAGCGCTGAAGCTCGCCCGCCAGGTGGATGCCATGGGCCGGAGGACGATTGGTGTTCTGTCAAAGCTGGATCTTATGGACCACGGCACCAATGCGATGGACATCCTGTCTGGACGTGTGTATCCCTTGAAGCTTGGATTTATCGGCGTTGTCAACCGGTCTCAGCAGGATATCCAGTCTGGAAAATCGCTTGCCGATGCATTGCGGGCAGAGTCTGAGTTCTTCCGGCACCACCCAGCTTACAGGAATATGGCCAACCGCTGCGGTACGCACTTTTTGGCCAAGACCCTGAACACAACCCTGATGTCTCACATTCGAGACCGGCTTCCGGATATCAAGGCTCGGCTGAATACCTTGATGGGTCAGACTCAGCAAGAATTGGCCAGCTATGGAAACAAACAGTTCAGCGGCGAAGAACATCGGGGGTCATTGATTCTTCAGCAGATGACACGATTTGCTGCCTCATTCATCTCATCTATCGACGGAACTTCATCGGAGATTTCTACCAAAGAGCTATGCGGTGGAGCAAGGATTTACTACATTTTCAACTCTGTTTTTGGAAACTCACTTGAAACGATTGATCCCACCCATAACCTGACTGTCTCCGACATCCGAACGGCCATCCGAAACTCGACAGGCCCTCGCCCCAGCCTGTTTGTCCCAGAGTTGGCCTTTGATTTGCTGGTCAAACCACAGATTAAACTCCTTGAATCACCCAGTCAACGATGCGTGGAGCTGGTCTATGAGGAGCTTATCAAGATCTGTCACACATGTGGCAACCAAGAACTTCTGCGTTTCCCTCGCCTCCAAGGAAAGCTGATTGAGGTCGTATCTGACCTTCTTCGTGAGCGCCTGGGCCCCTGCTCGACTTATGTAGAATCTTTGATCTCAATCCAAAGAGCTTACATCAACACCAACCACCCGAACTTCCTCGGCGCCGCAGCTGCCATGTCTTCAATCATGCAGAACAAGCAGGACGAAGAAAGAAAAGCCGTGTTGGCAGAGGAAAAGCGAAAGCGTGATAAACGACGTCAAAAGGAATTGGGAGCTCCCAATGGCAATACGGGAGGTCCCGACGAAGAAGAATATGCTGACAAGCAAAATCTCCCCATTCGAAGCCACTCCTCCAAGGGATCGCGGAGCATGTCTCCTCATGTTGGTCGCACAGGCGAGAATGGCATTACTGCTACCCTGAATGGCGCTCAATCTAATCATGCTGCGTTCGGCGGCGGTGCCTCGAACACTGCCCGGGATTCATTCCTAAACTACTTCTTTGGCAAGGAAGGCACTCACAACATGGCCATGTCCCCGGCAGGCATGAACCCCAACCGACAAGGGCCGCATGCTGGCGAGCCCAGTATCAGCCAGAGCATTCGGCGTGCCGAAGCTCGGGCTCCCATTATGCCGACCGAGGAGTACAGTGCACCATCGGAGTATGGCGGTGACGTATCTGTTTTCGTAAGTACTACCGCACAGGCGTCAGATTTTGCATACATCTGACTGACTTCAACTCTTATAGCCCAATGAGAACACCGAGCCTGCGCTCACGGACCGTGAGATGCTCGAAACCGAGCTCATTCGCCGTCTCATCTCATCATACTTTAACATCGTCCGAGAGACCATTGCAGACCAGGTTCCCAAGGCTGTCATGCACCTCCTTGTCAACCACTGCAAGGATGTAGTGCAGAACAGACTCGTGAGCGAACTTTATAAAGAAGATCTTTTCAGCGAGCTTCTCTACGAGGATGATGGTATCAAGGCTGAGAGAGAGAAGTGTGAGCGGCTATTGGAAACATACAAAGAAGCCGCCAAGATTGTGGGCGAGGTTTTATAGAATTCTCTATCTTGTATTTTAGTCTGGCTCGGGGGTTAAGCCTAGGCGATCTTGATTTCTGCGTCATGCTTGACGCCCTTCCATCGTGGGAGATATTACTTCTCTCAATTTATGTACAACTAACTATTGCGGCGTGCACATGATATCGATATATCTTTCCTATCAGTTTCTATCAGTGCAATTCACACGTATAACCCCATAAACGCTGTAAGATAAAAAAATATACAACATGCAAAAGAAATTCTGTCTAGATATACAGATCAACATCCAATATGCAATATTCACTGAGCCTTTTTGGCAATGCTTCGTAGACGTGCACCTTCAAAGCCATATAAACCACCTCCGACAAACACCAGAGCCGCGCCAACCAAGACACCTCCCGCCAAATGGTTTCCAAAGAGATAAATCGATAGGAGCAGCGAAACCAACTTGCGGACATTCAAGAAAATTGTAACAGTCAACGAGGACGACTTGGCCGACAAAAGATGGACTCCCCGGATACACAGGTACTGCGTCAGTGCATTCATCGCCAGGTAAGCCACCTGAACCGGAAGATGCGCCAGCAAAGACTTCACAGCCTCAATCTGGCAAATATGCCCCAGCACCGAAACAGCAGTGCTCCCAACAGTAACAGATGACACCCACAGCCCGGAATCCAAATGCGACAGCAAAGAAGGTGACGAAGCTACCACCCGCCATTGACCCAGCAACTGCGGACAACTCGTCAAGAACAGCGGCAGAGAAAGCGCATGCGAATAGAAAAGCGCCTCTTTCCAATGATCCCTACCGTAGGTTGCGTACAGCCGGTCGGCATAGATTCCCTGGAATGCAGAGAGGACCATCGCTAGCGCGAGGATTGTGAAGCCTGTCACCGTCGTCATTATGTCCGCCGTATCGGAGTCGACGTGGATAGAGACGCCTTTCGATTGCGCGTCGGCCATGGCGGCAGCCGCCACGCCTACTGTCAGCATACCCACAGAGGCAATTTGGCCCCGGGAATAGCGCTTGCCGTTGTATATATAGCCGATTACCATTGAGGCGACGGGACCTGCAGACCGGAGGATTATGTGCAGTGGTACGGAGATCTTGTATGCAAAGGCCCAATTGTTGAGGAGGTTGACGCTCACGAAATAGCCAGTGTATACCACCCATGAGTGTAGTGGGATAGCGCGTGGGTTCAGGAATAGGGCACGTGGTCCGGCTGAGGGGGACAAGAAGCTTGGAATGGTGAATAGCGCGCAGATAGCGAATTGAGCGAATGTTATCAAGGGACCTGTGCGGTAAACGAGAGTTGGATTAGGATATGCGATGTGATTTGTTTTTATTAGTTCTGGTTCTTGTGCTTACCGGCGGTAGGCTGTTCCCTAAAAGTGAGATTAGCGTCGTGTTTGGATTGACCTGGTTTGTTGACTTACTTGATAATCGCCTCTAGTGCAAAGACCTATACACAAGATCAGTTCCTGTTTTACCCCCATGGTAGCATTGGGGGTTCTCTAGACACCCACATTGGCACAGCAGCCCCCGAAGATAAGAGAGACCATTAGAACCATGCTTGTCCAGCTAGGAACCGCCGCGTGGGCGGCGGCAGCAACGAAACCCGGGGCATCTTTCTTCAATTGAGCATAGTCAAGCTTGTCCTCGGATTTTCGAGATTGAGATAGAGTCAAAGCGAGGTTCGCGTTTTCATTTGAGTTCACAGAGCCTCGAGAGCGATTAATCAGGTAGGAGTCGCGTCCTCGTTTCGAGAGTTCATGATCATTGAGCATTCTATTGGAGTGTGAGTGATCTTGATAGAGTAATGAAGATGACTTGACTTACCTAGGAGTTTCAAAGGGTTCAAACACAAAGAGCGCGACGTGGTTGAAAGAAAGCTGAGGCGATAAGAGAGTGGATCACGAGATATAGCCACCTACTATATACTCCGTACTGTATAACTACTAATACTATACTCTTTCTATTCTCTTATTAAATTGTCATTGGATTATGTACATCTATATTAATCAACAATATCATCATCACTGAGTATCAATTTCTCTTCGGGCAGTCCAGGTTCCAAAGCATTAGTGGGTTGCTTCACATGCTGTGCTGGTGATGCTTCCATATCGTCGATGCCATCATTACGAAGATTCTCGTTGGAACGAATGCGGGTGATCTTATCCAACTGCCAGCAATCCGGATTCTGATGCTGAATTGCAGCCATATAGGGCAGTTGATGAAGCAGTAGATCATTCCGGGGTATCATTGTGACCATACATGGACTGTCATCTTTGTTCCCTAGGGCCGACCTTCCCACCTGGAAATTCTTCCAGGAACTGACACCCGTGAGGTCAGAACCATTTTGAGAAAGATGTTGCTGTCCCAAAGGATCAAGTGATCGATTCACCCATGAGTCGATCAGTCCATCGATCTCCTCAGCCTCTCTCCACAATCGCAGAGATGCCGGGTAAAACATCTTGTACGCATCACCCGCGCGGCTTTGTCCAGTTGACCCAACCCGTCTCTTGACCGGGTATGGAAGGGCGAAAAGAAGTCCGCGTGCCGCAACCTGGAAACTCATTTCTTCCTGCCGGAGCACGTCGATACCGCTACCGAAAGAGGTAATTCCAGTTCCTATCCCAGCCCGTGCCCCTTGCCCTGGTCGGCGGTCGGCGCTGAGGATATCGCTATCGGAGAGTGCATCAATACAGTCGTTGAAATAGTCGGTGAAATTATCCCCATCACAGGATGGGATGTAGTTCTCATGGAGAGCACTGATGAACGTTGATATGTCGGTTCCTGTCTCATCAACCAGATCATTGACCAATACCTGCGAAACGTTTGGTCGGGCATAGTGGCGCATATAGTCTGGTGGAGGTAGAAGGACCTCGATATCACCCTCTATCAGGCTCGGGTCCATGCGTTTGTTGTACACGATCTTTCCAACGGCATGGAACATGCCCAGACTCGCCTCTCTCTGAGTTATCATCTTGAGAGACTCTTTCTCCATTGCTGTCAAAGCAACCTCGCCGCGGGCTTTCTTTGTTTTGGCCACACTGCCTCCCCATCTCCCCGTATCGTCCCCCTTGAGACAGAGGAACTCGAGAGAGGAGATTGCACTGCGGATATCGCCGATTTCAGAGATACTGTCTATAACACCTGGCCCAGGTATCTGGATACGTCCGGAGTCCCGCGCCTCTCTATCCAAGATGGACCGCAAAGCCTTGTGCATAAAAGTGGGTGCAATGCTATTGAAATCTAATATCGTTGTCCCGGGGTGATTGTAGATCGTGGGCCCTAGCAACCGATGAACTGTCAGGTTATCTGAGGTCGATGACGCAGATCCTAACAAAGTCTCTGACATGATGATCACAATGGGCGGGTGATTCGGCCCGGACATGTCCCGGGCCTGATCATTCGCAGAGGCAGCCAAATATCGTTGAAGAGACGTCCGAAACGCCGTGAGGGCGGAGGACGCCCGGCCAAGCACAGTGGGAAACTCCTCTATAAGAAGTATCCGCTGATCTCGAGGTTTTTTATATTTCTGGGGATCGAGCTCGCTGGCAGTTTCGAGGTCAAGCCCTCCAAATTTAGTACCCCGTCCAAGAAACTCTTCAAAGTGCGTGCTCACGGATTGATAATCGTGAGCTCCAAATTCCGAAACCGGGGGATTCTTCCACTCGACAACGTCGTAACCAAGTGAATCAGAGAGCAGGGATACAGTGGTCGTCTTCCCACTGCCTGCCGGACCCCGTAGGACGAGTAACCTCTGCATATTGTCAGACTTTCTAACCCGATCCCGAATTATTTCCAGCAGATTAAAAGCTCACCTCAGAACGTCTCCCAGAAAAGGCATCTTCCAACCAATGCTGTACATCCGAGACTTTTTTCTTATGAACGGCCAATTCGCCCAGATTGGCTGGAGCGAACCGCTGAGCCCATGGTCGACGGCCCGGTTCGCCAGCCGATTGCGCAGCCAATGGCTCCTTCGTAGTGCCATTTTCATAGTCTGTAGAGAGAAGGAACCGTTTTGTCATCTTCCGCGGTGGTTTGACTGGGGCCTTTGGCTTTGGCGCTGGCTTTTGCGCAGGTTCACGCATCTGGCTAGAGTTCACGGCCGCCAGACTCGTTGCCGCCCGCTCATTAACTAGATGCTGTGTGAAAATTTCATCATAGGAGTCATAGTCATCCTCAATGAGGTCCACGTCGACAGTCTCCCTGACCGGCGGGTCAGACTGCTTTTCGGTCTTTGGTGCCCATCGCTGTCCCTCTGTTGCGGGTTGAAAGAATCTATGCAGGGACTTAGATTCGGAGTCTGGGTTTGGTGACAATTTGTTCTTTCGGTTTGGAGAGGAGGACGAGGGGAGCCGGGTTGGTGGTGTTGCGCGTGAGTAGGAGGGTTTGGGACGCGAGGAGAGCGCGAAGGGTTCTGTTGATTCGATAGGACTGGAGCTATCTGAAATGATTCGTTTTGGTTTTGTCGTCTTTGAATCCTTGGATCTGCGTTGTCTTTTAGAAGGACGACCGTCCATGATGAATTGGTCAAAAAACTGGAGAAGTTAAGATCCGATAAGCTTACGATGCCAAGCGGTGGGCCTTTTCCCGATGTATACATGTTATATATATATATATATCTACAATGTACATGAAAATGGGATGTCGATGTAGATATTAATGTTAAAATATATAGAATTACATTCATAAGACAAATCGCACAGCGGGTATATTGACCAGAATCTGAGTCGGCAGAGTCAAAGAAACCAAAATCCCCAAATAACCAAAGAAAATGAGAAGACTTATAAATAAGTACTCCCTATGCACCTCCAAAGACATCATAATAATAATCTTCATCCAGGCCATCTCTCGCAGGGACCTGGGGAGCCTCACCAGCAAATGTGGCATCATCAAACCGCACATTGAGCAGGCGGATCTTCAACCCATAGTTGCTGACTAGGTCAATCAGCTTGCTTGTCTCCGCAGTGATGGGTTGCTGGTTGAGAAGCATCAGCAGACCATCCAACCATTCGGATGCAATGCTGTGCGAGGACGGCCGCAGTGTGAGCAGGACTACCTCCTTTTGGGTGGTCCTGCTGCCGGACCGGGCGTGACTATGACCTTTTCCATGTCCAGTGGCTGTGGAGGGCGTGTAGCCATGGATGGTGATCTTGGTTGCGGGTTGACGTGGTGCGGTCTTCACGGTGGCTGTAGAGGAATGGTCTGGGTTGGTGGAGACGTTGGAGACTACCGATGATACGATGGAGAGGTCGACTGTCGAGGACAATGGTGTTAACAGAAAATTACAAGATGAAACAAACTCGGCGACACTCACTTTTCTCTGGCAGGGTGTCCAATTCCGGCGGTCGGTCGCCCATCAGGTCAAATTGACCGAAATGCAAGTATCGTCGATTATGAGAGAGCTGGGCATATTGATATGTGGCAGTAGATTTCTGCACCGCCCCAGACTCCGACTTGGAGTGGGAGTCCAGGGCGAACCAGCTACCTTGGAGCAAAGATCGAATTCGTTGCTCCCTGACGAACTGGAGAGCCTCATGGTGAAGTTCCTCGCGCACCTGTCGCAAGTGTTGGCCCCATGCATCCTCGTACGTCAGTTCAAGAAGTTCCATTTGCAGCCCGCGCAATCGGTGGTATTCGAAATCGGCCAGTTCCTCTTCGACATCCTGGACATCCTTGATCCGAGCAGCTCCGCCCACCACCGACTCAATGAGGATGCGCACAAGCTCGATGAGCTTGTCCAAGTCCTCTTCCTCGGCGGTAGTCGCCTTCCACAGGCGAAAGAAGGCCTGTAATCCGGCAACATGTAGTCGGGTCCAATGTAACAGCAATGGCTGGAACATTTTCTCAAAGCCCGTACGGGACTCTGAAACGAGATATGTTTTTGTATCATCCATGTCGGACTTTTCGACCTCGAAATGCTCGTATAAGATGGATGTAACCGCCAACGACGCCCGCGCAATCGGACACCGCTGTCGTGATGGCTTTGTAGAGTGCTCCAGGAGCATATTTTGAAACTCATCCCCATGACTGCGAACATAGTCCGCCAGATCCATCATACCCAGAAAACCGACCTCATAGAATTCCCCTGCCGGACTCTCCGTCTCAAACCCAAGCCGCCTCCACTTTTCCGGATGGTGTCGTCTAGAGCGCCGTGTGTCGTCACTATTCTCGGTAGTCTCGTCGGGGTTCTTCTCTGGGTTACTGGCCAGATAAATCCCTTTCAGCGCACGGCGATGCTCCGGCTTCTCCTGATGGACAGAGATCTCTCGCCACTTGCGTAGCAGGATCTTGGTGAGTGATTGAAATTCTAGCAGCGGATGTGCCAGGTCCTGAAGGGCGGAATCCTGCATAAGCACATAGACTGCTCTGATAACGCCCAGATCCTGTAACTTTTGAATAAACTTGGGCCACTCCGCCTCGGGGTCGTGGGTGATCGAGTCGCGCATGAGTGAATTGATCAATTGGAGCGCATTGGCACATAACGCATGGTCCGCGGAGGATAGTCGGCTGACGAGCATCTCCAGGAACTGGGGGTATATCGCGATCGCAGGCTTCAGGGCGCGGAAACCAAAGTTGTTGACCTGGGACGCACGGTTCCCGGTGTACGGGTGGGAAACAATAGAGACGAGAATGGACATTGCACCGCGGAGTATATTGACTAAGGGATGGGTAACGATCAGCTCGACAATCTAGAGGACAGTTAGCATCTGAAATGACGGAAAGGGGACAGTAAAAAACACAGAGCATTGCAATGGTTTCAATACTCACGCGCTCCACCAACTCCTGGTCAACACACTCCCACCCCTTGTCGACATCGAGCAGCCTCGAGAAACTCGTCAAGCTATATGCCAGGGTATTTCCGCTTGCATGAAGGGTTAGATAGCGTAATCGAACTAGGCCCCCCTCTGCGATGAAGATGTCGGCGAAGGACGGATCTCCGATGTTGCTCTGGAGCTTGAAGACGGCCATTTTACGCACAGCATCTTCATCGCTACCCAGGCGCTCGACCAATTCGGCGACATTGACGGTCTCCATGTCTCTCCAAGAGAAGTTCAGAAAGTTCAAAGAGAGGAAGAGAGATCAGGGGGGCTGTGGGGCAATTGGAATTTAAACGGTCTGTCGATCTTTATTAATTTAAGCATATGAATAGATTGGATGTTATTCCTTTAAAGACTACCTAAGTAACTGAATATCATTAGGTGCCTCAGGTTCTCAACCCTTTATATATATCAAATTATAAATATTTCAAATTTCTCATGTTTTAAATGCATTATGTCGTTATATGATTTCTACAATTCTATACACAACGCCAAATCCAATCCGTCAGCCCCCAACGCCAAAGGATATAACCTGTCTTCATTATGTACGGCCTAGCCGTCATCGTAAGTTCGTCAAGATTGCAGATCAACGGCGCCAGCCCACATTCCAAATCACATGGGCAATGTCTCGGGCGGTGTTCACGGTGTCCACAACCCGGTCCAAGATACTACTGCTGGGGGTCTCGGTCTCGCCTTCCGGCATGATCATACCCGAAGCAGTTAATCGGAGCGGGCGATCTGATGCTGAATCATCTTCCATCAACCATGCGCGATCACGATCGGGGTAATTGCCTGTGAAGTCCAAACTGGGATCTTCACATTCATCCAAAAGAAAATTAGCCGAGGGCTCTGATGGCCCTGACGGACGTAAAGTCTCCACAGAGGGAGTTGGTGATGTTGTCCGGGTGGGGGTGGACCATCGATCAAGGATCGTCTGAGCGTGGGGTTCGGGGACATCGCCGCGATACTTGAGCGTGGTTGAGGGGAGAGGGGCGATGGTTTTCCCATCGCCGCTGAAGCTGTTGCGTGGGGTGCTGCGGTTGCTTAGGGAGGGCCGACCGGATATTTGTCTCATCATGACTATGCCGTCGTCGGAAGATGACTCGTCAAAAGTGGCCGGCCAATCGTCCTCGTAGCCTTTGGCTTCAACCGCGATGCATTGTACGACTTCATTGTTGAAGTGGATATGGCGCCGTTCGCTTGGAGATGTCATTCCAGATGATGAGGAGGTAGTGAGAGTGCCACCGAGAGAGTAGGTTGAGCTTCCAGTCCGGTGATGCAAGTGGTCTAAGTCTGTGCTGGACCTCGGGAAAGGTGGTCGAGCCCAGTTGGTCTCGGCTTCTTGGGCTTTGAGAATGGCCCCGGCATGCTGGAGTAATGTATGTTGAGATAGTGACCGCTGGAGGATGGCCTCGGATGCGGTCTTCTTCTTCAGGATTGGTTTTCGGTCTAGGTAAGAGTTTGGTGTGTCCAACCGACTGGGAGGGGGAGATGGAGAGGTTGCGCGTTCGACGGAACTTTTTAATGGCCCGTATAGCCAGGTGACATCGCAGTCCTTCAGCCTGGTAGAAGGTTAGCGGGGTGAACCAAAGACGAAAAGAGCAATGAGATCAATAAACCTACCAATTGAGACTTTCCGGCGATATTGTCTTCAGGTTGTGCTTGGCCTTGGCCCATGTCCTCCAAGAGGCATTCTCCAGTCTCACTCCATTACTATAATCATTTCTCCGACTTGTCACATAACGCCAGGAGGACCAGATATCCTCCTCCTTCCAGTCATGTGAAAGGTAGTCCACATGTCTAGACGGCTCATCTTCAATTAAGCTGTCATCGGCCGATGGAGTTTGTAGTGTCCACGAAGGGTGTGATTCTGTCGACGCGTCGCTCACGTCGGGTTCTTTGGCATACAGGGATTCTGTGTCGTAGGAAGGTAGGATGAGTTCATTTCCCGGTGACTGGCTGTTTATAGGCGCGTAGGCGATTTTCCCCGGGATAGGAGTAAGGATTGGCGAAGGAGGTGCAGAGGGAAGATTTGCGACTGGGGATGAGTCCCTCGCACGATAGTCATCTTGCATGGGTGATTTTCTGGGGATGGTAGGATCTTCTAGGAAATATCGCTGCGCAGTTGGACCCGTAGGACAGCGTAGAGGATCCGGGAAGGGCGAATGAGTTTCGCGGGGAGTCAACAAGGTCGTCATATCCCTTTTTTTCAATGATGTAATATGATAAAAGATCACACGGAAGGGTTGAAGGTCAAAGATATACCATACCCAGGAGACTGGTATATTCTGAAATCAAAGAGAAGAGAAGGAGAAGGGGAAGGGGAAGGGGAAGGGGAGGGGAAGGGGAAGGGGAAGGGGAAGGGGAAGGGGAAGGGGAAGGGGAAGTGGTGGAGAGATAAACCAAAATCTGGAGGTGGAGATATACGACAGTTCCCGGTTTCTGGGGATTTGGGGGATTGGGGGAATTTAGTCAAAAGGAAAAACAATTAGATTTGGTGAAAGAACTTATACTATACTATAGAACTTGCCACAATTGAATAACGTATTTCACCACCGAGTGGCCACAACCACCGAGTGGCCACCCCACCCAAAACGCGTCAATTAATTTAATCCCTTCTTCTTCAACCACCCACTATGCCACCAATTCGCTCTCAAAGCTCGAAAAATTCAATTGAGCAAGAGGGTAGGCTTTTATTA